TGAAAGAGAGAATGAGTCCCCCAGGAGCAGGCTAAGGTGTGGAGACATCCAGGGCTTACCTGTACACTGACTTGGTCAGTTCAATAAAGTGTACACCTTAAGGAAAAGAAAAAAGAAAAAAAGATAAAAGAAACCATACATCTAGGCATATTGTATTCAAACTGCAGAAAATCAAAGATAAAGAAGTAGATGAATCCACTATCAGAGTTGGAGACTTCAACACCCCTCCATTAGAAATGGACGGGTCCAGCAGGCTACATCCAGCAGGATGTAGCTGAACTCCACAGCACCAAGAAGCCATTTCCAAAAGTTAACAATAGGAGACACAGACAATAGCAGGCAGAATGTTCCATGAGTGGGCCCCAGGTCTGCCCCCTGAAAGGGGCTCCCCAAACATTATTTTTTGGGATCTTGGCCCCATGCTCTGGGGGATGCTTCCTTCCCCGTTGTCCTCCTTGGCCATATCTAGGTTGGCCATTGCTGGCTTTGCCTTCCCTGGGGCTGCACTAGGACACAAACCCTGTGCCACCTCCCAGATCCTCTTGATGGTGTCCTTCCCCCATGGTTCCAGGAATCCACCCTGAAAACATCCTTCCAAAGCACAAAACAACATATACACAAGGCCATTCATTGCAGCCCTATTTGTAATAGCAACTCAACTGGAAACAACTCAAATGTTTGTCAGTAGGGGTCTGGTTGAATAAATTACATCCATGCGATGAAATTCTGATGCAGCTGTAAAAAGAATGAGGAAGTTCGCTGTGCAATGGAGTGATCTCCACAATATATTGTTAAGTGAAAAAAGCAAGAGGTGGAACAATGCATATAGTATGCCAATTTTGGTGTAAGAAAAAGGGGAAAATAAATACATGTGCTTATTTTTGCCAGAAGGAACACTGAAAAACGGGGTAAAGACTGTCGGGAGGGAAATGAGATTTCTCTAAGGATACCTTTTAATACTGTTTTGACTTGGAACTGCATAAATGTTTAACATATTCAAAAATAGTTACATCAGAAAGGAAAAAATGCAAACCCCCAAACTGAAGGCAGAGCTCTGAGGATTCAGTGATCATTAGGAGTTGGTGAGCAAGGGAAAAAGGAAAGCCTTCAACTGATAGCGGGTGACGTGGCAGGAGCAGATCTAGGGGGATCAAGATTCAGTCTGGGACACGCTAAAGTCGAGGTGCAATTAGACATCTAAATGGAAATGTTGAACGGGCAGTTCGGTGAGTCTGGGGACCAGAAAGGAGATATAAAATGAGCATCGTTGGCACGTAGTGGGTGTTTAAAGCCATGAGACAGGATGAGATCGCCGAGGGGATGCAGATAAGAGAGAGGAAAGGCCTGGAGCCTGAATCCCAGGGCCCTAGGTTGTCAGCAGTCAGGGAAGCGAGGATGCCCCAGCCAGCGAGGCAGGAGAAGTGGATTCCAAGTGAGGGGAGGGGGTTCATGAAAGACAAAGGGGTCACATGTGTGAATCAGGTGAGACCCAGCGAGACCACCTGCCTTAGCAATGGACCTGGCCAAGAGCAGTTTCCAAGGAGGGGTTTAAGGGGAATAGAAGCAAACATGTCAGGGACAGTGAGTATAGTTATCTTTTTGGGGGGGCTTTCTCTAGTTGTGGCGAGCGGGGGCTACTCTTCATTGCAGTGTGCGTGCTTCTCATTGCGGTGGCTTCTCTTGTTGCAGAGCACGGGCTCTAGGCGTGCGGGCTTCAGTAGTTGTGGCGCACAGGCTTAGCTGCTCCGCAGCATGTGGGATCTTCCCGGACCAGGGATCAAGCCCGTGTCCCCTGCATTGGCAGGCGGATTCTTAACCGCTGTGCCACCAGGGAAGTCCCAGTTATCTCTTTTTTAAAGTGTTCTCTAAAGAGGAATAGAGAAACGGAGCGATAGGTGGGGGAAGATGCGGAATCCGAGAGCTTTATGTTTTGACGCAGGAGCAGTATCAGCACCCAGATGGTGATGGTCCAGCAGTAAGGGGAAAACAAGATTGCCAGAGAGAAGGTGTAATTATATAACCTCTACGAGGAGGGAAATGACGCTTCGGGAGGCAGTCAGCAAGGGCTGGTGGGATGGTGACTTGCCAAGGTCACTGGGCAGAACGTGACCCCCACCACGAACTCCGTCGTGTTACGCAGTGAGGACCAGCCTCTGCTCTGCCCCTAAATGGCCACAGACCTGGAGCAGCTCTTGCCTCCCAGGGACAGTCAAAGCAAAACCACCTCCATCAATCAGCCCCCAGATTAGATATGAACGGCTGAGGGCTTGCCAACCAGCTCCAGGTCTGACAGCTGCCTGGGAAGATCGGGAGGCTCTTAAGCCCCAGCACGCCTCTGAGAGCTTCCACCAAGCCTCTGTGAAAGCGGCCACGTTGCTCACACACAGCCGTCCAAGGTCAGAAGACAGGGAACCCCACAGAACCCACCACAACTGGCAGGCAGAGCATCACAGCCAGGACCTATACGAAACTCAGAGATGGGATGGCCCAGGGATAAAAGTTCTCCCTCTCTCCTTACAGCTGCAGGATCTGCATGCTGGTCTATGGTGATACTGCACTTGAAAAAAAAAAGGGGGGGGGCACAGTTACCCATACCCCCTTGCAATATGACTTTGCAACACTTCTCATTAAAGTGGAGCCTGTGTCCCCAGCCCTTCAATCAGGCTGGCCTGGTGACTTGCTTTGACCAACAGAATGTAGTGGAAGTGATGGCGTGCAGGGTGGGAGCCTGGGCCTCAAGGTCTGCGGGCTCTTACCTGCTCCCAGCCCCCTGCTATGCTGCCCGTGAACAAGCACGCGCTCCCTGCTAGACTCGGGCTGACCACGCAGCAGAGACCAGGCACCCTGGCCCCTGGACCAGCCAGTCTCAGCGGACACAGAGTTGACTCTGGGTGCATGAGTGAGCCCAGCTGAGATGGGAAGAATGCCCAGCGGATCCAGCCCGAAGGGCCGCCCTGCAGAGTTATGAGCTTGATAAGTGGGGCTGCTTTAAGCAGCAAACATTAACTGATACATCCAACCGATGTCCACAGGTGACCAGGAAGAATTCAGTCACCACTGGTTGACAACACATCTTTGGTGAAGGATTATTCAATAAGACTTTAAACCTCAATTCTTGGCACAAGAGAGTGTGGGCTGAGGCCAAGCGTGGGAATGGAAGGCAAAACCCCGAGGGAAGGACCAGCAAGGGTGGGGTGGGCCCAGAGGTGCACATGCAGGATGGCACACCTGGGCAGCCCTCCGAACCACACCCCGTATCAGGCCTGCGACCCCACGCCTCTGCCCACCAGCCCGACACACACAGGCAGGTGCTCCCTGGAGCTCACATCACCAGTGCAACCCCAGATGACCCCTTCTCAAGAAGTCACAGGCCCCCTGTTCACCAGAGTCTGGACGCCATGGTCCTGCAGTCTGGAAGCTAGGATGAGGAACAAGGTGGACCTTCAGGCCAGTCATCCAAGTGGCGTGGGGAAAAACACGCCCTCCCCCACCTCCCACTGCCAACACAAGCTGGAGAAAGCTGCAGGGGAATCAGAGTCACAAGACAAGAGTAAGGGTTTCACTTAAATCAAGAAAGCAAAAGGAGACTTCAGAGCAGAGATGGAGGATATCGGTGACTTTGCTAACGATTTAGCATGAATTTGAGAGGGCCCAGTGGAAGGTCTGGAATCATTAAGTTCAGGGTTCAAATCCTGCCTCCTGGATTACTGGCCTACAGCTTCTTGACGTCCATGGTGACCCAGTTTCCTCACCTCTGCCTGTTCACGGAAGTTGAAGACAATAAGGCATGCACAGTGCGGAGTGTAA